TGGATGATTGTATGCATTCACAGTTTTACAAGTTTACATTTATTCAGTGCCCTCTTCATTCGTTTGTTCATCCAGTATGTTCACCAGCACACCAATGTTGCATCTCATCATATCACCCTGAAATGTTCATACTTCCACAAATTTTTCAAATTGCAGCATGTACATTGCATATTTTTGTTCATGTATTTGTCACACACAACATTATATGACATCATATGACTGTAGACTGTCTGTAGTAATTCTGTAGCTCACCCATGAAAGTGACATCCTGGGTTTGTCAGTAATTGGCCCAGATGAGTTCTGCTTTATTTAAAGGGGGAACATCTTTTACCAGCAACATTTTCAACAATGATAAAAAAAAACATTCTGATTTTAAAGTTACAGAGTTTTTTTTGGTTATGTAATACTATAAGTGAAGAAATTATTTACAAAGGTAAAGGTAGAATCTGAAAGCAGAAAGCACATTACCTGACTAAACTAAACTAGAAGTGAGGAAGTAATGGAAATTTGTGGGCTACAGTTTAACTGACACAACTCACTGATAATCATGTGTGTATCCCAGGCTTCCTCAGTAACAACACAGAGTACATGAATCAATATTTAACATGACACGTGTCTTTGACGGTTGTGATATGATGATTTAGCCTCTAAAAACAAGGTAACAATTGAAAGAATATGAAATTAACCGAGCATCTTGTATGAAGCTCACTATCATGTCAGGTACTGGGAGGCACCTGAATCTTACATTAATTCAACAATACGGCAAATCAAGCCTCTCTACAAGGCTGATATCTCATTCATCTGCTGCTCTGCGCTTCCTCAAGTATTTGCTAGCATAATTAGTTGGCATAATCAACACTGTAATGGGTTGTGGTGATAACAATGTTGTACAGTGCACATCAATTTCTGTTGCTATAGACTGAATGGAGAGAAAAGGAGACACCTCTCATTCAGACACTTGTTCCCAAGGTAAATCAGTACAGTGAACCAAAACATTACCATATTGCTCCCATACAAGGTTTCCTGCAAATGACTTAAATGGCATGCAAATTCAATGCCAATTTATTTAAGAATTTTAAACCAATAAATGTGATTAGAAAACACAGCTGTAAGGCACTCAAGGCCATTCCTTTGGTTTCATCAGATACTAGCTGGTCAGTTCAATGTGCGTCAGGCCCTGACAACATGTATTCATTGGGATTTATTGCATAAATAGGCAAGCATAAACACAAGGTACCACACCAGAACACGTATGGCCAGTGCAAATGATGAAAACAGTTTAGTTGTTGATTATAATGGCAGCATGTAACTCGTTCATCGACATCACGTGTATATAATACTTTTCAACTGTGTTCCCAATTACGTTGTAACATTTTTTGAGTGCATGAAATGCTACATGTATGTACATTTATTTAGCACTCCAGAGTTGTAAGGAGGTGGTCGTACAAAGCATCGACTTTGACACCAGAGAGCAGGATTCTCATCTTTTTCTGTATCAAACCAAAACTTCACAAAATCTTTCACTCAACCTTAACCAAGTGCTGTGAGTGCCTAAACATAACCACAAAAAAGTTTTCAAATGCTGTAATTGTTAGAAGTGGGTACTGTGTTTTTTATTTTGTCAGTAACCATTTTACTGATACATTCAGTGTCAGCCTTTATGCAACTTGCCAGATAGATAGATAGCATTTCCTCATTATGCTACTCAAATACACAATGCGCCTTTATGTTTCTCTCAAAACATACTTGTTTTTGCAAATATATTGTATATATGTAATTTCAAGGGTTTGCTCATATATAGGCTGAAAGAGCTGTCAATACCAAAATCAGTCAAGTCATACTAAATATGGAGTTTTGTTTTGCTTACATAAACTACGTAACTTTTGCTAAACAATAGTAAAATGGCAATTTCAAGATGCTAAAAACTAAGATATAAGTACTGTATATATGGTATACATTGTTTAACAGTAGCACAAGTAAGTCATACATCATGCTGTGAACTGACTCAGTAACACTAGTTACAGAGCTTACAGAGCAGTATCTGTCTGCGATGTAACTAGCCAACATCAGCTGCCATAATTTACTGGTCATTCCAGACCCAGTAAGCAGCATCACAACCCCTGAGCATATTGGTACTTGTAAAAAGAAGGAATGTGTTATTTCTTCTTTCAAACATTGCTCCCTCGTAGACATAGATGTTTAGAATATAGTGAGAAGCTGCATGTAATATAAATGATAAACTATAGAGTCATAACAAATACATTAAAAGGTCTCACTTCAGAATAAGGTTTTCATTACTCTGATCATTTATGTCAGTATTTTGCCCTTTTCTACATGTGCTCCCATTAAAATTTACAATTGTTTTTGGATTATTTTGTCAAACAAGTAGCTGAAACTTGGATAAAATAACTTTTTAATCGAGAAATGAAAGATATGCTAGTCAACTATCCCACATCCCTTCAAGAAATGGAGATTAATTTGAAGGTAATCATAAGTGTGAAAATTGCTGTTATCTTCTCACTATTCCTTTGACTGCTAACGGCCTGTCTGGCTCTGAAGTCGTCCCGGTAATAAATATTCATATACCTTTCAGGGTCTTTGTTATGTTGACTACCTTCCATCAGTCTGATCTGTTGTGGCACGAGAAACACAAATGGAGAAAATAAATTAAGAAAAAAGTAAATATATAAATAATAATGACAATGAGTGCAGGGAGGTGGGGGGGGGCTGAAATTTGGAACATCAAAGGCTCCTCTATCTTTGCAGCATGTAAACAGTGCGTGCCTTCAGTGAGTGGAAGAGCCCTTTTTAATGATTCCATGGAAGATTGCCACATCGACAAGCATCCTGTAATAAATAAAATTAACAAACATTTCTGTAGGGTCTTTTCAAAGGGAAAGAGAGCCCAATGTTTTTTTTTTAGATAAGTGGTCTATACATCCCCTGCTCCTTCCTGATTAGTCTAATCCAGTGAGAAGTGCGTGCAGGGTTTTGATTGAGTCAGCCGTCGAGGACCCCGAGGGGAACCCTCCTGATAAGTGCCTTTACCTTTCACCTCCAGAACCCCACGCACGTCGCTTCGCCATATCCCACTCCCTCTAATCTCATTTGGCCCAGGAAGACATGCTCAGGCACAAGAAGCTACGATTAGCATCCTCTTTACCAAGGGATTCCATTGGCTTGGACTGCCAGTGCTGCCCTCAACCTGAGTCGCTGAAGGCACTAAATCAGCCAGGTAGTTCTGTGTGTGGCTTGTGTGTGTGCTTCTCCATCCACCCTTCATACGCCAAGTGTGTGTTTGACAACTTGATATGAGAAGGTGAGAAGGTTTCCTTTATTTACTTTCTTTGCAGTATATCAGCTTAAAGATTCTTGATAGGCACTTTTGCCAAACATGTAATCCTTTATTTTATGAGATGACGGCAATTTCAGGGCCTTTAAATTGAAATTTAAAAAAGAGATTTTAGAAATACTCAAGCATACTGGACATGTAAAAAAAAAAAAAAAAAAAACCACAAAATTCCCATATTATTTTGTTCATTTAACTGCTCTGTTATACTTTTGATCATTAGATCAGGTGGTGAAAACGAAAATCCTTTTATTTTTATTTATTTGGTCAAACTGTCACATTTTAAGGCATTTCGGCTAAAAAGAAATAACATGATCAGCCTTAAAAACCTTCAACATGAGCAATATGTGTACCATCATAGAACGTAAACTCCTCTTCATGTCATTAAATCCCTCAAATTCAACGAAATATTTCCAGGGCATGACCTTGATGTCCTCAATGGCTCAAATTTAAGTAACATTACAGTGTATGTAGGTGTATATGTAAGGCAGTGTTTACACTGGGATTAACTACTACTATGGAAGTTTGAATCATGGTATATCTGATTATATATCTTTCTATTCAGCATTCACCACACCATCAAGTTGTATTTGAGTTTGAGCAGGAATTGTCCTGCGGTATGATACATCGTTTAGTGGGTTGTTCCAAGTGGAATTTTGTAAAGATTTGTTGAAAAGATTGTTTCGTTAAAGAAGTAACCTGTGATTAAAGAAAGAGTCACGTGAGCACATGAGCTGACACTGTAATGAGGCTCAATAAGCTTCCCAATGATTACAGCGCTACCACTGTTAACGGAAGGTGGGAGGAACTCCCCACACCTCGAACAACTGTGGAAAAAAATCCCATATCACACCCAGTGTTGATCAGCAAAACGTATCTGATAAAGAAAACAAATTAGTGCGATAACTATTCTGAGAAAAACAACTTTATTTAAGAAAGTTTGGAAAAATGGATAACGGTCAGAGGTCATGTGAAGTTTTGTGTCACACTTTTTGATGTCTGCACTTACAACCTATAAATTTCAGTAATCTCCAATAATCCAAAGCATTTTAGGTCATGTTTTCATCATTAGTTTTTACTAGTTAATAGTTAAAATCTTCTAGAAATATTTTAATCATGAAGAAATAAACAATAAATAAATAATTTTACTGAATACATGCAGGTCTGCAGACTTGGTGTATCCAATGCCACAAAACAAACTATACACCATCAAGAAGCTTATTAGAATTGTGCAACTTCAACTTCAACTCAGAAGATTCTCTGACTACAGTGATTTTGGGACATTTTTGTGGCATTTTTTTTAAAAGAATAACAAAAATGCAGATGAAGTCTTGTTGTGTTGTTAAAAGCAAAGCCCCTGACTCGATAACTCAAGAAGCATCTGTAGTATTAATGAGCAAAGACACCAACAAAACTCATTCATCTGCATGATCTGATGTATAGTTTATGCTGCATGAAAATTCAAAGAGTGCATGAGCAACAAAGACAAGCACAATAAGTCAAAAGTAGCCGCTGTATGAAATGAGTGTAACGTCTCACACACCCACACCTGCTGTGAATTATGACACATTTTAATGTATGGAAGGTGTCTCAGCAAGCAGGACATGCGAATGATAAATAAGCATGAGAAAATCAAGGAGACTGATCAGTAGCCTCTGAGTGTGTGGTCATTTTTGGAGAAGCACATGATGACAAGCTTAGCCGCTCTGAATCAGCAGCTTTAGAGACTTCAGAGACTGAAATACTGTCTAAATGAAAAAGAAATCTACAAGTAGAAAGTAGGGCTGCGTAATGAGGCGGCTAGGTCACGTGGAAAAATGTTTTGATCTTGCCCGAATGTATAAGACATGTAGGATATGTGGTTAGAACATGGGTTCCCAACCTGCGGGTCAGGACCCCTCTAATGGTTCCCAAGATAAATTGGATGGGTCGCAAGATAGTTAAGATAAGAAAGAAGGAAATGCCGCTACACAAAATTAGTGTTTTTTTCTGACTTTTATTTAATCTTAATGGATAATTTTACATCCTTATGTCTATCTATAGAAACAATTCAAATAAAACAGCATGAGAAGATAAAACCACTCTTAGGTGGAACTGAACATAACTCGCTGACATTTGCAGCACGTGATAGGGGCTCACAGACTACTTCGTTTTAAGGGGTCATAAGGTAAAAAGCGTGGAACCACTAGTTTAGAAGATTTTTTCTGCTCAAAGTGCTGGAGAGGTGGGGTTCCCATGTGGCTTCTAATAAAACCTAAAGCTTTGGAGTGAGTGACATTAAACTGACATGTTACCACTGGCTTCAATAAGAGACAGAAAGCATTTCCAAACGGAAAAAACAACAAAAAAGACTTTTTCAAACAATATGACAAAAGTAACAAAGTGACAGGGCAAGATAGATAATAAATAATATTAAATATTTTTCTTAAATTATAGGCCTGCCTGCTTCAAAAATAAATAAAGAAATAACAATAACAACATGTGATGGCATTTTATTAAAAATGTTACTTTAAATTATTTTAAATGGAAATGAACTGATTTAAATATTTACGAAGTGTGCAAGACTTATAAGATTTATGCAGTTTTAATGTAGTATGTAAATACATGTAAGCATCAGTAACGTACAAAACGCCATATGAATATAATAAGATGAGCAACACTGCTCGTGTTCTTTCAGAGCGGCCGGGCAAATATCAGCATCAGCACCCAACGTCAGGCTCGGGAGGTTGCAAGGCCTGAAAAGCTTCATGGGAGTTGTCATATGCAAAATCGAATGAGTATAATTGGGAAATAAAAAGTTAGTGAAATTGCATAAGAACAACTTTGTTCAAAGTCATAAAACAAGTGCAGAGTGAACTTTTCCGCACTGACCGGTGCAGAAAATGAATCTGATGGATGCAGGATGTGAGTGCGAGCTTGCTTGAAGCATGAAGCATGTAATAGTATCCTACTGGTGCTTTCCATATCTGTATCCGATGAACTCCAGAGTGAGAATTGACCATATAGGCCCACATGCATGCGTGAGTGTGTGCGTGCCCGATAAATAATGCACTGTCTTTATATGTGTCGGGGGGAATAAAGTCTTAGTGTAAATCACTTTCCGTCTGGCACAGCACATTAAACAACCGTGGCATGATTCCTTTTCTCTCAGCTCATCCGTTCCCCTTTTTCTTTATCAGCTCGTTCACGATTTCATTTCTTTCAAATGAGAATTCAGGGACCCCCAAATTCAAGCCCCCGCGTCTTCAAACAACACAACTGTACGGTTTTACTTTTTCTCCCGTCAAAATGGTATCCCAGATTCAATTTTAGATAGACTAGGATTTAGCCAGTGATGATTTCTTTTGGGTCTTTCGGAGACAATATTTAATATGCTGAAATTAGATGGGGTTTTACCCCACCCACCCATCCAAAATAATGTTGTTGTTTTTTTTACAACGTCTCAATATACATTTGTGTCAAATCGTGCGTTGACACAAGCCAAAATGAATGCATCTTTGATAAGCGAGCCTGTATTTGGCATATAATCGTCCCTTTTTCTCTAATATCATCAGGAGAAGAAACAACAGTGACACCGTCATCATCAATAGTATTTTTTTTTCTTCAAACCTCTGCTGGAGAGGACTTTTTCCTTTTGATTTAGGAAATTAGCACGCCTAAATACAAAACCACATTCTCAACAGCCACTTATCAAACTCCATTTACTGAAGATGATTTCAGGGTAACATTAAAAGACAATAATGTAAATGACCCATGGCTTTTAATTAAAAATGTCTTGCCCCCCTCCACCCTCCCACTCTTCCGCTATTTTTGTTTCATCTGTTTTACATTTTTTTGGGACTTTAAGTGTTGTGGAGGAAAAAGTAAAAGCGTTTGCTGCAGTCAGTGCCCCCCCTTCTCATTGACTTTTATCACTAAATGAAGCATATAAATGACCTGAAAGCGCTGGCTGTCGCGTTAAATTAAATAAAATAAAGAACAATTATCCTCTCCTTTTTCTCTGATCTCGCACTGAAAAGGAGTCCTGGAGAGATAAGGCAGATTGAATTCTCTCTGTTGTGCTCCAATAAAAACGTCAAGGGGGGAAGAGTTAAAAAGAGATTTAACCCCCCCTATAATTTCAAATCATAATTTCCCTCCCATTATACCTCTCAGATGCCGTTTATCGTTAAGGTTATTTATTTCAGGCGTTTTAACCACAGTCAATTTCCCGTGACTAAGTTTGATAATTACAGGTAGCGTGTGAATAGCATCCGGCAAAACTTGAAACTGCTTTAATAAAATGCAGAAAATATAAGATTTAAAACAACATACATATTGAAAGGATGCCCGCCTCATTTCCATCATGGAAAGAAAGAATATCCACGTCTGCTGTTACTCCTGAAAGTAATTATAATTGTCTAATTTCAAAGTTGAATTAGGATGCTTTAGGGGTTTGATGTAAAACTTCACATTCGGTTCAATGAAGTATCACCCTAATTTACAGCTCTAGATAAGGACTAAGTCTGTCATAAAAATCTGCCCGTCCTCCTCCCCTCTTCCTCCCTCCTTCCCTCCCTTCCTCCACAGGACTGAATTGCACCTTGGGCAATAGTGCAGAATCGTGAATCTTAACTTCTCTCAGCATATGTTCCTGGCAGATAAGTAAACAATTTGGATGTGGAATGAATTTTTTTAATTAATACTACAGTCGTCTAACACGAGGGTACACACCGCGGCCCGCAAATCCTGTTCTCCATTAGCGGGGTGGAGGGAAGAAACTGCGCCTAATTCACATTGAAATCTTTCAGTGTTTGTATATCTCCTCCTGTTTTGCGGTTGGAAACTGTTTTCATTCAGTATTGTCTTAATTAGAGGCAGCCCTATCATTTACAAGTTCATACAGGTTTAAACACGACTGAGTGGCTTGATGATAATAGGCTTTAGTGTGGTTTTGGCTGCAGCACCTTTCTTTTCAGAAGTAAACACACGCAGAGAGATTTAAACCGCACTATAGCTTAGTGGGCCGCTTTACAGCCAGCAAGTTACAAGAGAGAGAGAGAGGGAGAGAGAGAGAGAGAAAAATCACCTCACATTCAGTTTGTTCCATTAGTTAAACCTATAATTAAGAAGAAGGCTCCCTCCTTGAAGTGATTAAGCAGTCAGACAAGTCGGACGGGCGGAATCCCTCCAGGGAGGCCTCTGAGCTGTCAAACATCAAAAGATCACAACCGGTTCATCCCAGTGTCACAAAAACACCTTCACCGCTCTGTGCCGCAGAACATGCCTGGAACCTGTTTCAGATCACTTCTTTAAAAAAAGCAGTAGCAGCCAAACGCGGAGGCAATTAAGCCTTGCTGTGGAAGTGATCAGAGTGGAGGAGTTTGACATCTTAAAAACCACACACGAGAAACGGGATCGATTTGGAAGAAGAGGATTGATTGTTGTTGTTCTAGTGCGAGGCGAGTTTGTTCATGTTCAGTCAACAGCATTGATTAGTTTGGGGTCAAGTTGGGTCTAACATTTAAAATGTAGAAAATGATCCCAATTGTTTTATTAAAAAGTTTTTCATACAATCGCTTTTTAGTGAATTGTTGTTTCTGTTCTAGGCATTTATTAAATGGCAATAGGCTATATTTTTTTTTCTATTTTCTCAACTATTTAAATTCTATCTAATTAGGCCCGGTTTAAGTCCCCCACAGCCTCTACACAATATTTCACTATCTTTGTCATCTCAAGTACCCAATAACCTACAAATACAGGAAATTGATAGCGTTGAAGACAGATTGTCTTTATTCGAAATGCCTTTGCTCAGCAATTGAACAAAGAGCAGGAGGTATCAACCTTCTAGATACATTATCCTTTCCATAACATGACAGTTTTTAAATTATCATCTTAGATGATAATACACATATAACTCCTTGGATTCAAAGATAACTTATCCTCAAAAACAAAAACAAATAAACTGACGCGTGTGACTATATTAGCACTGAACCACAGGAAAAATGCAAAATTAAACATTTGGATGTAAATGATTCTTTTTCTTTTTGTCATCTTAAATAGACCGTCTAGTTTTATGTGCCAGTTTTTGATAAATATAAACAATATGACCCGTATATAATCCAGCCTATAGGTTCTGATTTTGACCCTATCCAGAACATCATAAAATTACGAGTGCCAAAATGTAGACTACTTAGGCCTATACAGGAAATAATGCTAATTGTGCAAGCCAAATTTTCAAAATAAGAAAGTACCCTATCAATAATTAACACAAATCAGCATATCAGCATAGAAATGTACACAATAAATAAAGTTAAAGGCCTCCTTTTCTGGTTGCCATAAACGTTATAACATTTACATTTCTTACAGTTCACAGGGCACCGTCCTTTACACCGAATCCTTTGCTCAGATCAGGAACTTGTTGGATTTCTGGAAAAGTTTTTCTGTTTCTTTTTTTTTTTTGCCATAACAAGTCCAAGGCAGTTAATACTGTTCATGCCTTTTTAATAGGGCGCGCTGTCCATAATATATTTACATGCATTTCAGTATTCAAGTGAATTTAAAAAAGAAAAGAGTCTTGAGGGTTACATGGCAGTGGCATGTGCGGATGAATATGGGTCTATCCCAGTCTTGGTCATACCTGGAAAAAGTATGTAGGCCACCGGGGGCTGTAAACTTGACGCTGACCAGGCTGTGCAGTTACACGGGACGACATAGCCCGGGTTTGTGGGCGACGGGTGGGTGTGGGTGTGCTGACTGGGGCACCCAAGGGTGCCGAACGCGCCGTTCTGGTATCCCAACGAGGACGCGTACGGCAAAGTGCTGGTGCTCAACGTGTGGGGCATCTCTGTCATCTTCTGGATGGCACTGGAGCTGAACTGACTCGGGTCGAGGAAGGAGTAAGGAGTTGACGTCGGCGGCAGAAACGCTCTGGCTTTCTCCGAGGGGCCCAAAAGAGAGTCCGCGGCCGACATGGGAAGTCCCTTCAAGTGATCGGTGTCTCCGAGGTAAGGCAAAGGGAAAACGTACCTGTCCTTCTTGAGCAGGTTTTTGGGTTTGCGCCTGGGTCTGTACTTGTAGTCGGGGTGCTCCTTCATGTGCTGAGCCCGCAGCCTCTTGGCCTCGTCAATGTAAGGTCTCTTTTCAGACTCTGAAAGCAGCTTCCACTCGGCGCCCAGTCTTTTGCTGATCTCCGAGTTGTGCATTTTGGGATTCTCCTGTGCCATTTTCCTCCTCTGGCCGCGGGACCAAACCATGAACGCGTTCATGGGTCTCTTGATATGATCAGCAGGCTTTGACATCTTTAAAAAAGTGTGCTTTTATCCCCAATGTTAATGACGAGGAAAAGTTCTTATCGGAAGGAAGGGAAACTGTTCACCTGTCTAGATGCCAGATACCAGTCATGCCACGTCTGGGATGTTGAGTGTCGGAAAAACAGTAAAAACAAAATAGAATAAAATAAAAATCCAGAGCCCGGTTTGCTTTTCCCGAGTTAAAACACTGATGCGCGTTCGTTCAAGTCCAGTTACAACTCTCTTTCAGACCTGAGGCAGGCAATACAGGAAAAAAAATACATGCGAGATGCACGCACAAAAAATCCTCAAAGGTGAAAGCAATGTTCCGCAGTCAGTTTGCAGGAGTCGTAAAAGTGTTATTTTTTTTTCTGCGACACACTCTCCCTCTCTCTCTCTGAGGTTTGTCGTCAAGCACCTGGCTTGGAAATGAGCGGAAGAGCGTGAATACGAGCCAAAAGCGGTGAAGTTCAAAGGCTGGGCTGGTTTGGTTTCTGCACGCAATCTGACATAATCTGCAGGGCGTTCACTCACCAACCTGAGCGCCCAATCAGCACGAAGACCGGCTATTATAATACCTTCACGAAAAAATATATGTACATTACAACATAAACAAAGACCGGGTGGTAGTAGAAGAGAAAAAAAATAAAGAAAGTGGGTTGTGTGTGTGTGTGTGTGTGTGTGTGTGTGTGGAGGGGGTAATACTCAGGGTCCCTCCCTGATTCCATTTAATGTAATGAATCGCAACAAACATGGACCTTCAACCTCTTTTCCAGTTAAAACCTGACTTCAGTACAGGGAGGTGACTATACCGTGCAGTACACCTTTACATTACAAAAATATAGAGGACCATATTAAAGGTTTGTCACCAAAGTACTATAGATAGCCTAGACCCTTAATACAGTTGGTCTTTATGCTTATTTTTTTAAATTGAACTGTTTAAGTGATGGAATGTAGAAAATAATAATAATTATAATATATATATAAATATATATTATATATATGTGTGTGTGTGCTTGTAATAATAATAATAATAATAATAATAATAATAAAGAATAGCCTATGCTATTCATCCCTTCAAGAAAATGATTTTAAACGTAAATCTCCCTAACTTTAAAAAGAAAATAGCCTACATAACATGGCGCCCTCTGCACCTGGCGGGGGTCTTCGAAGTCTTGCTCAAAGACCCTTTCGCAGGGATTTAACCCCTGTCCCCCAGCAGCATTGTGAAAGGGCTCAGCTAGAGGGATGAAAACATGTCACATTTAGCTTCAGTATTTCAGCAGGTGTAGTCTTTTCTAACTGTTTTACTTTAAAACCTAGCACTTCCTATAGGTAGGCTATAGAATAACAGGCCCCGCCAAACAAACACGCGCCAGCACATACACGTAAACACGCGCGCGCACAGTTTAAGCCCTCGACATTGAACCTATGGAAAGCTCAGCTGTGTAGTGACAGAATTACAAACACCAAGAAAATATTACATCAACTGTAAACGTTTAGAAAACCGTCACCGTGAGTCTATAATTGTTGCATTAGCTCACATCAATTTGACAGTGTGGTTTTAAGGAGGCACAGAGTGATCATTTTAAAATGCTAATTTCAATGAGGACCATTGCCTAATAGCCCTCGGGCTAATGTGCGTGATATATGATTCCTTCAGTTGTGATTATTAAAGGAAACGCAGACAGCTGCTTTTTTTTCCCTCCGCACCGTCAAAATGCTGTGATGGGAGATACAATCCTAAGAGTCGTCTCTAGTTAGTTACACTGCTAAGTAGATTTATTTAAGGTTGTCCTCGGCCTATACCTATAGCTATATATATGCGCGTGCACGCACATACACACATGCTCACATGCGGATGTTGTGGCCCACATCCTATTGCAATTATCATCTCATCTTTGTCTCTGTGTGTATGTCACACAAACAGGCTAGACACGCCACTTCAAAGATGATTTGAGAGTTTCTTTAACATGTCACCACATCACACTGACATGCTAATATAGCCTATCTATTATGTTTGCCTGATAAATACATTTAAAAATAAATCGCCTACATAATCTACCACCACCTCAGAAATGTGGTCAGGCAAAAACATATAGGCTACATTTAAGTGTCTGGTAAGTAGCCTATAGCAACAAAGATATTATCATGTCAAAGCCAAAGTCACTTTATTTTTGTAGCCAAAAATTGATTTTATTTTTCTGCCTCTGATTTCCCCATATTCCAACACCATCCGTGTCTCTTTCTCACGCTCTCTCTCCGCTCCCTGTTTGCTCGCACACGCATGCGTCAATCGGTAGCTTGTAACAGGAAGATTTCCATCATATCCTTCTTTAGAAACACCGAAATTATCGGTAAGAAAAATACCCGTTTTGGGAGAAAAATCCTCCTCACCCCGACCTACAGAACAATAGCCCACAGCTGAGGACGCCCCCGACTTTTTTCAATACAAGCGCCGAGCGGATGTCTGGAAAAAGAAAAAAGCTTCTGAAATCCTCCCAATCGGTAGGTTAGGATGTTCATCAGCAACTATGAGGTAGTATATTGCATGTTCGGACTGTATATTTGAGCGCATCTTGAAGTTTTAAATTGTGTTATGCTATCTATCACTGAACACCATATGCAATTTGACATGTAGCATTTAGGCTGCTATGCGTACGCCAGCTTAGGCTTCATTTTAAGATCAATGAATTAGATAACAGGAAATTATTTTAGGGGCTGAGCCTCCTACTCACGAGGGAGAAGTCAACTATGTTTCTTATTCAAAAACTGATTGTCTAATAAATGCACGCCTGAAAGTTCCCTCGACAATTTAACGGGATAATGAGAAATGCAATAGGTTTTAATGTGTCAAGGATTGAGATGATTATTTTTTTTCCATCGGCAGCTCCTCTTCAGTTTTCCCTCCAATATAATCGTTAGTACATTTGACACAGCCTACTGTCTGAGATAAAAACGTAAAAATACGGTTTATAAATAATATAGTATTTGTGGTTTTACACCGGGGTGCGCTCACCAGAAACTTCTCTCCGTCTCCAAACTTCATGCATTTTGAAATGTGAAAAGATTTGATTGTCACAACATACAGCAAGCTAAAAAAAAAAAGTGTTTTGAGAAGGTGAAAAATAATATATAATATATCTTAATACATATTTGGTTGGTTTTGAAAATACTGTCGAAGTAAAAGCAACGGGTCAATCCCAGCTGAATATTAAAAAGTTTATTTTAACCTTATTATAACTCAAAATGACTTTGTGTTAAGAACAACTAATTCAAATCACACACAAACAGACACGTATTGCCAGCCCCCCTCCCCACACACACACACAAGCACGTGCACACACATACAATCCACACAAAACCACAAAACTAGGATTATCTAAGGCCACATGTCCATCCATCTCGCCTTAAAAAGTGAATGGGGAGCGGCCTGACACACAGAGAGCCTATTAGCCAAGTTGGGCTCCCGTGGAGAGCATTGAGGTAAGCTCCCCTACCGTAACTGTCCATGGTGCTGAAGCGGTAAGAGGTTTTCTTTACTGCACACTTGCGTCCTCCCTCAAAAACTCTTAAAAGCTAGGGTTGACATTTCAATGCCTTTTATTGTATTTCCATCCTATTTAGCAATGGTTCTCTGTAAAAATAAATAAATATTAGAAACTGAGACAACTCACATCTACAACTTTCCCAACTTTCTTTTTCAGCAGAATGTTTTTAAGCTTATTTTTTTCACAGTGTGGAAGAAATTCTCTTAAACCACATTTGGAACTAATAAATCATGGCAGCACAAATGATCATAAACACATTTGTTTGTCATTTTTTGTCAGTTTACAGTGTAAATCACCCAGTGCCTTGTATATTATAGTATTACCTCCCATGTTGTTACAATGATTGCTTACAAAATGATTGATAGATGGATGACTTTATGGATAGATAACTGCAGTCTACATTAGAGATAATACAGGACACAAAAGATGTGAAAAGTAAAAAAAAAAAACACAAAACAAAGCAACAGCAAACCCAGTGAGACGCTTGTACCACGTGCCTTCTGGTTGAAGGACAGCTATACTCCAACACTGTACCAGCAAATAGCAACTGTTATTTACAGTCTTGATTCATAAATTTATATGTCTAATATAGACTCAAATTTTTCAAAGAGCAAAATAACAGTCATTGTAATTCATCCACTCTCCCAGGATCCAGACCCCCAACATGTCACTGCTCAGATTCCTCCACAAGAAAATGGAACCATTTCACAGCTACAGTACATAACACACATTTCTTTTCAACCATGTTTACAGAAAGAATCCTATCTGCCTTATTTATATTTTAAGATTAAAATAGTGTTCATGGTCAAGGCATTTTTCCCCAGTTTATATTGATGCCAACGTGTTGTCCCTGGAAATGGTACAAAAATGTATACATACGCTTGAATAGCTGATAATTAAACTTGCAATGTACACAAAAAGGCATCCTTTCACTAATACATAAAGAATTCCAAAACTCATAAGGCTGTGGATCTTTCTACATTATCCGCTTACAAATACTATTCATTGACACTGAGAAGCAATGAAAAGTGCAATGTAGAGATGGATTGCTATGACATAGGGCATATGTTATAGAAAATATCCATATATATCATACCTTTGAGGTGACAATTACTCAGTAAGATAGTAAAATCATACTCCAATAAAATCTTTTAAAAACTTAAGCTGTTCTCACTTTTATTGTGCAACATTGGATAGTACAGAGCAGAGCTGAAAAAAATTAACAAAGGTTCAAGGCATCAGGTAATAATGAAAGGATAGGGGCAATACTTCAAAGACCACGAGGTCCACATCACACAATTATACAATACAATTAGGATTAAAGGGGCAAAAGAGATAACAGGAGATAGGGATAAATTATCACAAAAGGAAAGATGTGACTCTCTCCTGACCTTCATTAAGAGAAAAAAAAAACTCATTTAGAGCTGGCCTTCCTTGCAGGGGGATTTGAGCCTTTCACGTGAGACTGTGACTCACTAGATAAGATTTACAGAGTATAAATGAGAATCTGAACTTTTACCAAATAATAAAATGTTTATCCAGAATAAAACAATATGATAAATAGGGATACTTTATATAGTAATATGTTAATAGATTATATATAGCAATTAACAAAATGCAATGAGAGCGAACAGAAGAAAAATCTAAATCAAATCAATATTTGGTGTGACCACCATTTGTTTAAACAATTATACTAAACAGGGGCTAATGATCATAAATTCAATATGCAGGTTGAAAAACAATCATTAACTGAAACAGAAAGAGCTGTGTAGGAGGAATACAGCTGAGGAACAGCCAAACTCAGCTAACAAGGTGTGGTTGCTGAAGACAGTTTACTGTCAAAAGTTATACGCCATGGCAAGACTGAGCACAGCAACAAGACACAAGGTTGTTATACTGCATCAGCAAGGTCTCTCCCAGGCAGACATTTCAAGGCAGACAGGGGTTTCCAGATGTGCTGTCCAAGCTCTTTTGAAGAAGCACAAAGAAAAGGACAGCCAAGCAGCAGCAGAAAAACATATCATGCTTATTTCCCCTCCCAATTTGAAGATGTCCAGCAGTGCCGGTCAGAGCTGGTCAGAAGTGCCATTCATAGAAAATGTGCAAGCAAAAATTCATAATTCTAATATGGAAACAAGGCCAAGCGACTCAAAGACGCACAGAAACACAGAAACCAGGAGGCAGAAAAATGACAGCAGGTGCTCTGGACTGATGGGTCAAAATTTGAAATGCTTTGCTGTAGCAAAAGGCAGGTTGTTTGCCGAAGGGCTGGAGAGCAGTACAAGAGTGTCTGCAGGTGATAGTGAAGCATGGTGGAGGTTCCTTGCAAGTTTGGGGCAGCATTTCTGCAAATGGAGTTTGGGATTTGGTCAGAATTAATGATCTTCTCAATGCTGACATGTACAGGCAGATACTTATCCATCATGCAAGACCATCAGGGAGGCATCTGATGGGCCAAATTTATTCTGCAGCAACGACCCCAAACATACAGCGAAAGTCATTAAGAACAATCTTCAGCGTAAAGTAGAACAAGGAGTCCTGGAAGTGATGGTAAGGCCCCCACAGAGCCCTGATCTCAACATCATCGAGTCTGTCAGGGATTACATGAAGAGAGAGAAGCAACTGAGGCTGCCTCAATCCACAGGACTGTGGGTAGTTCTCCAAGATGTTTGGGCCAACCTAGCTGCCAAGTTCCTGACCTGACATGCACAAGTACCAAATCAAATGAACTTTTCACATGAACAAGTAGCCTACCATTTCGTGTAGCAACAAAGCTAGCTGAGCTAGTGTTGCAGTATGAAGTTCCACAAAAAGATACGGCAGTTATGGCATTGTACCTGTGCTCCCCAAATTGGTTCATCTAAACACCTCATCGTCTTTTGTTTGGATGTGAATGCCTCCACTGTGGAATTAAGATTCCTCCTCTACAGTCGACACAAGGTCCAGAAACTCCACCCTTATGCTTTCCTTCCTTTCCTCAAATCGGCTAAACAAAACTATGAAATAGGCCACTTGGTGCTGCCGACTATGCAAGAGGCCCTAGAAGAAGGGAAGCACTGGGTGATAAAACAAATAAACCCTTGGACTGATCATAGGAACCTAGCCTTCGTGCAGACAGCAAAGGCCCAACTAATGGTGAGTTAGCTGGACTATATTCCTCTTTAATTTTACACTGAATCAGAAACCTGATGTGTTCCCCAACTTCATCCATAACTGTACAAACTCAAGTCCTCCATTGGGTCAATACCTCCAACCTCACCTGTCATCTTATTGTCCGGTGCACACGTTCCTTCTTCCAACCTATTGACATTTGATGGCTCTGCCTAATGTGGAACCATGATGGTCGCACATCTCCACTGACAAGCTCACTGGTTTTCTGCCATCAGAATAAACCGTCATCATCTCCTCCGAGGCTGATTGGATATTTTAACAAAGACCTTGAGACCTACTTCCACTTCCTGATGTCCAGGAATCTACCACTTGGATTGCTAGAATCTGAGCAGTCCTACATCTTCTTTCTATGTTCCTCCGACGTTCTCTTAATAAGAAAGAAGAAAGAAGTGGCTGTTGACGACAGCAATCTCATTGTATTCAGCAGGCCTGAAGTACATCATGGTTGGCAGCAGATGGTATAGCTCTGCACAAAAGATCCCCCACATTTTCAGCACGTCACCAAATGTCCTTTCAAGTTTTTGGTCTGGTTGAACTCTCCAGGTCCCATCAGATTTACGACCTCAATTCCCAAGCCAACACTGCCGCCATGCCTCATTGACTGTAAGCCCACCTGCATTGCCCACCGCCTGCTCAGGGGGCACTGTTGGTTCAGGGGTTTGCAGTATCTGCATGATGGTCCCAAAGAATGCGCCCGGATAACTGCTTGCCCATCTTATCAACTTCTATTGGAGACATCCAGAAAAAAACATCAACTGCTCGCAAGAAACACACCGTGCTTAGCAAAAGGGTTTAGTGTTAATTGTTTAACACAAAACTGGGCTAATCTTTTCTCTTGATATAATATTTTATTCCTACATTAATCTGTTTAACTTGTAAACTGAAGAACTCGGTTTCTAAGAACTTCAACTTTCTGAATGCCAGACAAAGCTTGACGTATATTAATTACTAAATACAATCGTGGCAAACAAAATCATGATGTACCTCTGACAACAGCTGGCTTCCAAATCACAACTGTGATGTTATTCACTGTTGCACGATATTCTGTATTTGGGGACATTTTCAAATTAAATAACTGCTGTTCTTTTTAAGTAGAATATCCATGATAACACTTATGACACATTTATACTCACTCATTACCTCTCATTATAGCTTGAAGCCGTATCTCATCAGTGGACGTAATTTGTCTGTGCGAGTGCGTGCCCAGCATTGACAGTCAGGCTCTGTCAGTCCTTTTTAATTATTGGAAAACTACTTTTTAATAAATACAGCAGAGAACATTGTGGAATATAATGTTCTGATTAATTGAATTTGTGGTTATACTACAGTGTGGACAACCAGTGGTAAAACAAATTAGCATTTACTGGGAAAGCACATCTAAGAGAGTTGAGTAAAAGCCAGATTATAATGCCAATACAACTAGACACTAAAACACACAAACACCCCCATATCCATATTAATTTAAACATTGTGAACAGCTTTCCTTTAACACAGTCTCTCTTTTTTACCCCTCGCCTAGGGCTACCTGTGCCTCCAGTGATTCTGAGACCTGAACTTCAAGACATGGTGCAAAGCTCCCGTGACTCAGGTGATGAATTCAAAACTGAAATTGAAAATCAATATTCCACAGTGCCACTCCTGAATGTCTCAGAATGTATCAGTCAACCCCCTCTTGTACCTTTTCTCTCTCTTTTGTTTACAGAATCCGCATCCTGAATTATGATGTGGGACACACTGGACAAACAGCTGTCTGTAGGTATTGCTGACTGTAGCCATTGTAAAATCAAAAACACAGACAAGTCAAATGTGAAATAAGGAAAAAGGGACAGTTAAAGTGTGTAAAAGCTTTTGAAGCCAGACAGACTGATGGAGGGAAAAAAATACAATTCTACAAATCTGTATCAGTGAATGATTAATTAATTTTTGTTGAATGATCTGTTCTAGCCTTGTGAGATATCAGTTTCCATTTCTTTTACACTTTTACAGAAGATCTCAAGAGACCGCTGGTTCAAAAGATGGTTCAATTTAGAGTTCCCACTGGAAATGGTTTCAGAAAGTCTTTTCCATACGTTGGGCTTTGATGTGTTTTAACTGTCATAATCTTTCCGTTCAGAGATGTGGAAAATAAATTCTGTTAATTTTTCTATTGTAAGTTCTTGTTTTTCTTGACTTCACACAAGATACCAAAGTATGAAGATCACCAGAGAAATATTTCAGTAAAACTTAGACTTTTGTACAGTATACAGTAGAATTACCATGTTTCATTTTCTAGTGTACATAGTGCATAGAGAATAAGGTAAATTCGTTTGTATGAGTGTATATAAAGTATTTAATGATAATATTCCTGTAATTTCAAAGAAAAGCTCCTTTTTGATTGAATCACAGCTATTATTTAGTCTATCGAACTTGACCTCCATCATGTAAAAGCTGGAAGGTGACTTACTGTCAAAGAGTCAAAGAATCTGCATTGGAGCCGGCAGGTCGTGTATTAAAGAAAGAAAAGATTGATTTCCTGTCATATGCATTTGTTCCACGTATTTATTTTTTTTTTTAAACAGCAGTTGTCTTTGGCTCGCGTTATGACCCACACGCTGCTTTCTAATAAGTGTCACATTTAGATATAGGCATTCGCAGGTATTTGATAGCTGTTTATTCAAAAGCAAACAAAACTTGAAAAGGGGATATAACCTCAACTCAGAACTCTGGAGGGCTGGACTAAGATTGAAATTGGTCTGACTTGCTCTCTCTCTCTCCCTCTCTCTTGAATTGAGGGTCCATTGTAGTATGTCAAACAAAAGGTTTTTTTTTATCAGAGGCTCTTAATGTAACCCCCTCCCCTCACTCTCATGGCCACCAACTCGTTCTTCTCTTCCCCTCTTTTCTCATTCATTTATTCCACTGTGTGTGGAAATAGGCTGGGCAACAATTAATTTCAGAGTGAATTCAGGCAGGATCTATTACCCCTCTCTGCCTCTATTGCTCTAATGGAAATCTATTTCACTTCTCTTTTGTGTCCAATATAATTTAATGCCCATTTTATTAATGGCCTGAAATAATTACGGAAGGCTTTTGTGATTCTTGAGTATGTTTCATTTAATTGTGTAATAAATGTCTAATCAGAGCTCCCATCTGAAGCCATTATGGCATTAAAATTAACAATTACGCCACAAATGTCTTGGTGAATGCGTTGGGGTCTATAGAAATCGTTGCTGATAACAAGACACATATAAATCATTCATGAGAATTTTTTCAGAGAAAAGCGGAGTGAGAGATAGGAGGATGGGAGGGAGAAAAAAAAGAAGTGGGGGAAGAAAAGAGGAGAAGAAAGAGGCTGAGTTTTCTTTATTCCATTGAAAAACCGGGGATGGCCAAAAGATAGGGCATTTTAAAACTGTGTCACCCTCTCCAGTTCCTTTCTTCCCCAGTCTCTCTCTATCTCCCTTTAATTTGCCTTCCTCTTTATTTTTGAAGTGACAGATTTCACTTTGGGAATTCATTAACCGTTAACTTGGGCGATAAAATATCTATCAGGCCCTCTGCCCGGTTCCTTTGCTAAGCTGCGTGGCGCTCTGGTTCAACGTTGTGGGTGACCGAAGGCAATTAAAGAGGCTTCACACTCTCTCACTCTCCCAGTGTCACTTTCTCAGTGAAAACAGGAAGGCTGCTCAACGTACCAGCAAGAATTGTTTTCTTAGTAGCCAAGTATACAAATTTCATGGTATGGGGGAACTCCATCTGCCACTAAAAACTCTCGTCAGTTCCTCTGTGTCATTTCCAAGCTAATATACTACAATTGGTTTTGGTGAATCTATTTTAATAGCATAAGGTTTTGGCCTTCTTTGTTCTCTATTACCATGATGCACAAAGGGCCTCCCCGGGCAATGGATTGTACTGTGGTCCTAACCACACTCTTTCAAGTGACAGAGTCAAGGCAGTGGCTTTGATGTAGATGACGTCTCATGTTAATGAGACGGCTGACTTTATTGATTTTAGAACACCCATTTTTCAATCAAGCAATCTCGGATAAGTTGGTTGATCTCACCCATCTCTGCCCCATCTGAGCAGGCTAGACTGCTGCTGCTGCTGCTGGAGTTTCAATAGTTCACCAACTAGTTAGCTCCAGCTGGGGGTGAATATGACTGGGTATATGACACCCTACATGCACTGTAGCAGTAAATTCTGTGTATCCAGCTTTTTGGAAATAAGGTGATTGTTTTTTCATATAATGCTAAGCCATGTAAGGAGTTGTTTTAAACCAACCATTAAATGTAGTTCTACTAATTTTATCTTTATCATTTATTTATTGGTTCTTCGTGGTTTTCTTTTTTCTAATTTTACATTGTTACAGTTATTGTCAGTGATAGTGAATTTTAAACGTCTAAATAAGCTGTATCATCCAAGGCATGGAGATATAAAATTGACCAATCAGATGATATCAGTGCCTCGTGCAGCTCAGGAATACCTGCAGGAAAAGCAACCGAACAAATAACAGTTGTCTTTTTTCGAGTTCAAACTGTGAAAGAACTGATTTTGCCTTTTCTCATTGGATGAGTGGATACATATGTAATTCAAAAACCTAGTTAACTTAGTTCTGTTTATTGTCGTTTTAATAAAGAAGTCAGGCAGTAATTGGCCTTTTTCCATAATTCTGTGAGCAACCCTGATCTGATTTTTTGCTGCACACGGCACGAGTCTGTGAACAGCTGGGCAACATGATAGGAGTTGGTTACCTCGCTTCTCGCTGAGAAGTTGGAGGAGTGCAGCCTCTCACCTGCAGCACTTGTTCAGCTCACTGTGGCTGCTCATGACTGTTTTATTACTCCGTGCAATATTTCACACTGATCTTCTGACTCTGCCATCAGTTAACAATATGGCAGCTGAACCTGGTTATGTTACCCACTTGCCCGGCTGCAGCACAACACCAGCGCCGCTTTCCACCAGTAAATAATGTTGCTTGAAATTTGGGTGGCAAGCTAGCCAACAAAGCTAGACAGCAACTGACGCAAGAGCACAAGTAACGTTACTGATGTCCAAGTGTGTTATCTAGTAAATTTGCTAACATCTTCCTGAGATTTATAGCTACCGGCTAAACATCTGTCTGTGAAACCTCTGGCTGATTCTGCTCGAGTCGACACCTTTGTTAACACAGCCAAACATCAAGCAAGCACCAAACTACTTGTTAAAGCTACTTTATACTGCTCTATAATGGAAGAACCAAACAACACAAGACATAGCAAGACAGCTAATAAGTTATTACTTATAACACTAATAAGGCCAGCTCGGCACCTGTTTTTCATCCTTTCATCCTTTTCAGCTCTTCTTAGGTCTCTTGGGAGTTTTCGTCATGATATCCATACTAATTGAGCCAACACAGGACTTAGACAACATAGTACATCTGAAGGGTTGCAATGGCTACATAAGGGAGAAAAAGGGAATCAACTTTTGCTCAATATACATTTCAAATTGAATTAACTTAACATTTTCCCCATAAAAGTATAATGTAAACTTTTTATACATATTTAAAATGGACATTTTTTATATAAACTTACATACTGTCACTGTTAAAAATCTTTTTTTTTTTAAATCACTACAGTAGCTTGCTAAAATTTGTTAGGTAGTGCAACAGGCCTTGTAAGATCATTCATTTTTGGAGAACTCACTAATTTTGTGATTTGTAATTTTACTTCTGAGGTGGACCTGCATGGCAATTAATTAGTCCCCAAGCAAAAACCCAAGCACATGAAAACCAGGAGCGCGCGTGTAATACGAGTGCACAGAACAGTATCCGTGACTTTCGAGCCGTTGGAGGCAGGGATGGAGTAGACAGTGGCTCCCCTTCTTTGATTGGTCACTTTCAAAACCCACAGTCTCCTGTCTCTGACCCCCTTTTTTGAGGTAGAATCATCAAGAAGAAGAACAGCCACTTTTACAATGTACAAGTAAATACTGCATAAGCAAAATGTAGCATAGGCTTTTAGAAGCAGTGGCATATATGATTCGTGTGTATTTGTACACGAGGAGCAGCGATGCTCCCTGGTGAGGATACTACTCTCTGCGCTCATATCTGAAATGTCTGAAATTTCCATAGAAGAAGAACTACTTGTGTATCTGTTTACAGTGCAAGGATATCAAGGATTAATAAAGAAGACAGTTAACAATGTTGTCAAGCAAGGTAACATTAAATGCCAAAATGTGTGTAAAATGTGCCCATGCACCAGCTTTAATCGTCATGTCCTGTATGTGCACATATCATTTCCTGTAAATCTCTTGTGCATGGGTACACAGTTTGAATCCCACATGGCAAACAAGTCCACCAGCATCATTGAAAAGCAGAGAGAGGCAAACAAATACAAATTGATTTTTTTCCAATATATGCAGTGATGGATTTTTTTGATGACCTAGCCAACCTATCACAGGTCATCAAATACAACCTGTCCTCCCTCCTTGTCCTTATGTCCATTCTAATATTGTTTCATACTCAAAATGAAACATTGTAGTCTTTAATAACAATTGAAATAACAAAATACAGTACATTGTAAATATATGTGGAATGTATACTGCAATGGGCTAAACAGATTTTCCTAAATACTATAATATCACTATAATGATACAATATTGAAATTGAAAGCAGCTGATGAATCAACACCAGGAAGAGCTGAGTACACCCACAGCCACTGAGAGAGAAATGCCAAACTGAACACAAATCACTTTAACCATCTCGGCTGTTTACTACATTTCTCCTTATTAGCGTTTCCTTTGTCCAGACAGATCTCCTACTATTTAATTATGCATTTAACTGATGTGCAAATTAACCTTGGCATTTTCACAAAGACACTTGTGTCTTCACACCTCACACCTTTCCCCCCCTCTTCTTCCAACCAATTTAATTCGAAGCTCCAGATTTCATGGTCAATTTTATCTCACTCACTCTCAAGGAGTCCATCATCAATTCTTCACAACTTTTCATGTCCCCTTTCTCTGCAGATTCACTGCGAAATTGCCTATTCAGGTTATTAAATATCTGTGACTGGTATAAATTTACAGCAACGCCCTGGTCTTTGAATATGCATTTGGAATGCTGACCTCCAGCAGCAATTAGTCTCAGTCTTTGTTTATCCTTTACACAAATCACACAGCTCTTTTCATTCCTTA